GGGGGGGGGGGGGGGGGGGGGGGGGGGGGGGGGGGGGGGGGCACAGGGAAGAGGAGAGGGAGGCCAGGGCGAAGGGGCCAGGAGGGATGGCCTGCATGCGCATGCATCGGGCCGGTGTACCATTGGAAAAGCCCCCCAGGCGAATGGGCGTCTCGAATTGCGCCTGGAAAACGGGCAAAGTCTGGCCGAGACGACGAATGGGTCAGAGGAGCCGCAAGCAGACGAAAGGCAAAGGGCATGCCTGGTGGAACGCACGCCGAGCTTGGAGGGAACAATGAAGTCGAACAGCGACCAGAGCTCACTCAGGCGATTTTGGATCGGCGACCCGGAAAGGATGACCCGGTGTGGCGTCTGGAAGTCACAGCCGAGAGGGCGGCCAGGAGGCACATGGTCAGGGGGCTTGGGGCAGCGAGGGCGGGCGGGGGGCGACAAAGGAGGTTCCCAAAAAAGCGGAGAGAAGCAGAAGGAGAGACACATGGGCAGGGGCCATGCCGCGGGGCCCATTCCGGCACGCACACGCAGTCGCTTACAGGCGATGGTGATCGCCGCGTCCGGGTTCTTGATGCGGTGGCCCTCGTCCAGGAAGGCCCGGCTCATGCGTGAGCCGAGCAGCGCAGACGCATGCGACTTCAGACTCTCATAGGTGGTGATCAGGATAGTGTCTTCGGCCCGGCCGCGCGTCCCACCAGCGCCAGTGTCAGCGATGGGCCGGGGGAAAGGGGGAAATGCCCCAGCCAAGGAATGGACGACATGGAAAAAAAAAGACAAGGAAAAGCAGCGCACGCACTGGGGAGCTTGGACACGCGGCGGAATACCCGGCGGAGCTCGTCGGCACTCGAGCCCGCCGTCAGCGACGTGTGGAAGATCACCACCCGAAGGGCCGGCGCCCAGAGGCGCAGCTCACGCGCCCACTGCTTGATCAGGGTGGCCGGGCAGACGACAATCGTCGGGCGACGAATGTAGGCCGGGGTGTCATGGGGCAGGCAGGAGAAGGTGTACTGCACGGCATGGATGAAGGACGCGGTTTGGACTGTCTTGCCGAGACCCTGGGTGTGGTCGCGGTCAGTGGAAGGGAGATGCCGGCTGTGGAGCAGGCAGGCAATGGCAGGCGCGACACCCGTTCACCGGCAACGCACCATCTCATCGCCGATGATGCCGCCCACCTTGGACAGCTCCAGCTGCCAAAGCCACCGGAGGCAGGTTCGCTGGTAGTCGAAGAGGGCCTCCCAGAGATCGAGCGGCACGCGCAGGCGTTCCGCCGGCTCGACCTCGGCCTGGACGCCTTCTTCCCCCTCCTCGAACTCCGGCTCATCGAAGATGAAGATATCGTCCGGCTGCCCGCGGCCAAGGGCCGCCAGAGCGCGAGCCAGATTCCAGGCCCCGGGGTCGGCCAGCGCCTCGACATCGGCCAGATCGGCCGGATCGCAGGGCGGCGCATCGGGCCCGGTCAGCAGGGGCAGGACCGCGGCGCGGCCCGTCGACAGGGCATCCCCCACCGCCTGGACGCCCGTGTATGCATCCGGCGAGAAGCGGTTGAGTCGGGCATCCGGGATGTCCTGCACGCATGCAGCATGGTTAGCAGCCTGGTCGGTGGCATCAAGCGGCGACGAGGCAGGCAGGCGGGTAGGCGGGCAGGCGGGCAGGCGAAAGAGAAATAGAGAGAGAGAGAGAGAGAGGAAGAAAAAGAGAGGGCGGGAGAGAGGCGGACGAGGCGGGGGGGGGGGGGGCCAAGGAAACCATGCAAATGGGTGCAATGCACCGGGGGGCGGGGGGGGGGGGGCACCAGCAGCAGACGCAGGCGTCGAAGGACACTCACTCGTGCCAGGCGCACGACGCGCTCCACATAGGATGCCTCATTCCGATCATCCGGGAAGGCATCCTCCTCCTTGGTGACAACACGGCGCCGGCCCGGGGCGGCCCGGCCGGTGCCACAGCCCATGTCGTCCGGGTCCCGGTCCTCGGTCTCCGGCTCGGAGTCCGAGCGGCCCGACGAGTCGGACCCCGAGTCCGAGGGCGCCTCGCTGGCCGAACGGCCCGACGACCGGCCGGCCGCACGAGCACCTGGCCGCCGAAGTGGCCCGGCGGCCGGGCGCCCCGCCGCCCGACCAGGCCTGGGGCCCTCGCCCAGATCCAGATCCAGATCCGAGCCACTGTCCGACCGGCCACCCTCGCCCAAATGGAAGGCATCTTCATCGGAGGAGGCGCTATACTCGTCTGGGCGCAGGGTGCCGCCGGGGCGCTGGCGAGCACCGGTGCCCGAGGCGCCGGTGGCCGGATCGGCGAAGCGCCGGGCATGGCGGCTGGAGGCCTGCCCGGCGGCCATCCGGCGCAGGCAGAAGGAACACCGGAAGCCGGAATGGATGGCGCCAGGCCGAGGGCCGGACGCCTCATCCAGCAGGCCCTCGCAGGCCAGGTGGCTCCAGCGCAGGCACCGCGTGCACTCGATTATCGGCTCGGAGGGGCCGGCAAAAGCCGCGCCACACTGACAATGAACTGGGTAGCACGGGGGAATGAGGGGAGCGGGGAGAGGGGAGCGGGGAGCAGGGAAGGCCAATGGTAAGCAGCATGCATGGGTGTGGCCTGCAGGCAGCAGGAACAGAGACCGGCACGCACTGCGAGTCATGCCGTCTGCCGAATCCGGCAGAGGCAGCGAGTCTTCCGGGGCCGGGGCCGCGCGGCCACGAGCACGCCGCTCGTCAATCGCCCGGATGACCTCCATCAGCCGCGGTCGCGAGGAAGCCGCGGCAGGCTTCTCCCCCGGGGAGGAGGCCCGCCCGGAGCGTGGGGCCTTGCTCGGGGGCAGGGCGCCCGGGGTGCCGGGGCGCGGGCGGACCATGCCCGCACGACGTGCGAGCGAGGCCTCGCTCGGGAGAGCGCGCGGCGCCCCATCGCCTGGGCGCTACACCGGGCAGGCAGGCAGGCAGGTCAGCCATGTGGCACTCGAGGAGAAAGAGACAGGGCGAGGGACCCACAAGCAAAAGGGGGCCAAGGGCGGAAGAGGTGGGGACATACGGGAGGCCGGGGCCCAGGGGGCGGGGCCCGCGAGTGGCCGGCTCCCGGGGGAGGCGCCGCCCCGGGCCGGAAAAGCCCGGAGGCCCTCTCGAGGCGCTGCTGGCGCTGGCGCTGGCGGTCCTGCCGCAGGGCATCCATCGGGGTCATCTGCCCGGTGCGAATCTGCCGATCGAACTCCGACTCCGGGGGGTTGCCATCGAGCCCGGCCCACATGTCGGTCAGCCGCCGAGACCCGGTCGGCGGCCCGGCAGCCAGCATGCGGCGCGCCTCCGACAGGTGGACCTCCATCTGCTCGAGCGCACGCCGGCGCTTCCGCAGGTCGGTCTCCTGCTTGCCGACGCGCTCGGCCTGCGAGCCAGCGGCCCAAGTGGCGGCGGTTAGTAGATGCTCGAGCAGGGGCTCGGCAGGCGGCCGGCCCCAATGAAAGGCGGGAGGAGGGAGGGGGGGGGGGAAGGGCAAGGGGCAGATGCCAGCGACGAACCTCAAAGGCCACCATCGATTCAAGGGCATTCCGCTGGCGCAGGTTCTCCAGCACCATCTTGCCGGTCCTGCAGGGTTTCACAACGCATCAACCGAGGGCAAGGCAGGTGAGCGACCGGCTGCCGGGGCGGGAAGCGCGGGGAAGGGGGAAAAGGGGAGAAGAGCAAAGACAGGACACAGGCGGCCCCCGGGGGCATGGGCAGCCGAGCAGACGCACTGAAGTGAAGTCTCGCGGAATTGGATGTCCCGCTGGGCCTCGAGAACCGACTTCTCCAGCTGGTAGACCCGCCGCTGGCCGGCCTGCACCCAGAGGCGCTGGTTGACCTCCTCGGCATTGGCCGCCCGCACGCCGAGCCCCTGCGCCGCGAGGGCGTCCAAGTCCGAGGGAGTGGCGCTGTTGGGGTCGGCTGGGGCGGGGGCCGAGGCGGGCCCGGGTGCGGGGCCGGCACCGGTGCCGGCCGCGTCGGCCGACTCCGGCACCGCTCCGGCCCCGGCGGCAAAGTAGCTCCCGATGCGCGACTGGACCAGGGCCACGGCGGCATTGGGTCGCGGGGTGGCCAGGGGCTCGGCCCGGGGTTCGTCCGCACGGGCGAAGCTGAGCGTGCTCTGAAGCAAGACCACCGGCTTTTCGGCCTCCCCCGAGTCACTCAGCTCGACCGGGTCGGAGGGCGGCTGCGATGCGGTGGCCGACCTGCCACGGCGGAGGGCCGGCCGGGCCTCCTCATCGCTGTCGAGCAGGTCGATGACCTGGTCGTCCATGGCTCCGGGCGGATAGGGATGTGTGTGTGTGTGTGTGTGTGTGTGTGTGTGTGCGTGCGGGTGGGTGTATGCCTGTGCACTGGCTCACGGGTGGGCAGAGGGGCGCAAGGAAAGCACAAAGGGAGGGAGGAGGAGGAGGGGGGGGGGGGAGTGAGATCGCGCCCCCGGTCCCACGGCGCGCTTCCGGCACCCTAAAAGCCCCAGGCGCGACCTGCCAACCAAGCCCTCCCAGTCCCCCGGTC